TGCCTTGTCTGGACCGTTATCGCTTCAGTTCCATTGTGGCTGAGATATTTGTGTTGAGATATTTTTAAAGAGGTGATGTCATTTGGCTGTAAATGCTGATCAGAGTCACAGACGTGAGTCAACATCAGGGAGATGGAAATGCTGAGCGCTCCGAGGTGAGTTACTTTGCTGGGGGGAAAAAATTGACCTTTTAGATTTTCTCATTTTGTGTGAGTGTGTGAGCTGATCAGGGATGGGATGAGATAGTAAAAGAACAAGGGGGAGATGGAGAGGAAAAAGTGATGTTTTCTTGGTTCCCCAGCTTCCTCACTGTTATTATGTGCCATTAGCTGGATTATAGGCCCATACCAGACTGGGTCCACATCTGGGACTGTAAACCTGCCAGATGCAAGAACAGATTTCTAAAAAGAATTAAATCTCTCTTATTGTGGTTGTGTGTGGCAACGTGCTGTTATTACTGCTTGGTTGCTGTTGTGAAGATTTTCCAAACTACTTTCTAATGTATAGTTATAACGGCTACTATAAGAGTAGGTTGATTTCCCTGAAAAGTGTAAACATTATTTGCACATCCTGACTGTCCTTTATCATCTCAGCCAATAATGTATTGGCTGATGTGTTTGCGAAACCTGTTTGGAAAAAATCATTATCTTTGCAGAAATTACACATTTTACATTTACATTTATTCATTTAGCTGACGCTTCACGCCCCTGGAGCAACTAGGGGTTAAGTGTCTTGCTCAGGGACACATTGGTGTCTCGCAGTGGATTCGAACCCGGGTCTCTCACACCAAAGGCATGTGTCTTATCCACTGCGCCATCACCACCCCATTTTACATTCAAAAGTTTCAAAAGTTTGGTTTGGGATGATTTTTAAAAAAATATTTTTGAAATGTCTGCTGCTCGCTAAGTCTGCATTTTCTGTAGCCCTCAATTGAGTCATGGGGTCATAAACGACCCCAATCGACTTTTACTTTATAAAAAAAAAAGGTTCCCTTCATCTCAGTGGAATAAGATTTTGTGACTTATCTATCTATACGCAACCAAAAAAACGGGGCTTGATTCGGTTGTTCTGAAGGTATGTAAAAAAAAAAAATGTTTACACTTCTCGTCTTCGGGGTCAATATGACCCCACATTGAAATGAATGGGAAATGTGAAAAAAAAACTAAATATTTTTTCTTCATGTGTCAAAAAAAAAAAAAAAAAAAAAATCCGGCATAAATCTGAAAATTTTTACACAGAAATTAAGGCCTAGTACTTGAGCATAAATGCAATGTATCATAAAAAAAAATAATGTCATATGCTAATGCTAAAGCTAATGGTGTAGTTGAGGAATTGTGTGGTATATATGGATACAAAAGTACTTTATATCTCCAAAAACACAGAATTCATGAATAGATGAGAAGTAAACAAAATGATATATTATTTGTATGATTAAAAATGTGTATTTTATTTTTTTTACAATTACTCAATCAATTGTTGGGGTCATAATATAGACCCAGAAGTGTAAACAGGAAACGGAGACCATTTGAAGGTTAATCGCAGTAATATTGCGAAATCTTATTGCAATTTAAATAAACTGTTTTCTATTTCAGTATAATGTAATTTATTCCAGTGATGACAAAGCTGGTTTTTCAGCATCATTACTCTTCATTCCCACATAATCCCCTTAATATTATCAATGTTGGAAACAGTTGTGGTGCTTAATATTGTTGTGGAACCTGTAATAATAATGTATTGCTCAAATGTTCCTCTTTCATATCTCTTTGATTAATTGAATGTCTGTTTTTTCTTTTTCTGAAGCATCAGCCTTGGCTCAGAAGTTTGGTGAAATTTTTGCGATCTCTTCTGAAACTGTAGAGGAGACTCATATCACTATATAATATTATAGGTGTTATAGAGATTGCCTTTTAAAATCTTCAGCTATATTTACCGTCCAATAATAACTGCATTGAGCTCCACAAGCTCCAAACGTGGGATTCATGTACCTAAAATCTGAGGCGTCATACATCCAGGTCTTGAGAAGAACTAGAAGATCTGAGATGTTGTCATCAAGGCAATGATTGTTTCACTAGTGTTTGACTGTGAGGCCGACGTGGAGGTGGTCTGGGGAATACCCCACATCACTGGAGCCTCAGCCGTGCCGTGAAAGGACTCTCTGTGTGTTTCTTGATTGACACTCACTGTGACGTGGTCACAACAACATGACCCATGAAGGTAGGGGGTCCTGCCTCTTTGTGGGACACCATCCACCCCCTACCCCCGTTACAGAAGTTCAGACTCCTGCCATCCACAGGAATGAGGGGAATGAGGAGAGTCGAATGAAAAGAAAGAATGGAATGAGAGCTTGAGGGGTAAAGAAAGAGTAGTTGGGTGGGGGGTTTGGATCCCAGAGGCCTCTGTGTGTTAAGCCGTAGTGTTAATGATTTTAGTTGGGTGCTAATTACAGGCAAAGAGCACTGAGGAAAGGAAAACAACAAGCATGCTCAGAATGAGAAAGACTGCAGGATGCTTTAGTAGTGCTTCAAGTGAGGTCAATATAGAACTTCTGTCCATGTAATTGTTAAAGACACTGGTCAACTAACTATTCTTTCAGATCCTAACTTTTTTTATTAGTTTTAGTTTTTTTTGTAACTTACTTTGAATAATGGTGCATGTTGGTTTCAAAGAATTTGTTTTTTTGTGGCAAAATATTTGGGTTTGGATTTGATGTTTCTTGGAATAATGATACATTGTTGGTCCAAAGAAAAGTAGCAACATTTTGGGGGTTTGTTTTTGGTAAAACCGAATTATAATAATATCAAATATATAAAAGTTAAAATACATAAAATATATATGAATAAATTTAAATATCTATAGGTTGCATAATGTCACGTTATGGAGATTTGTTGATTATGAGCCATTTCATGTTAACTTCAGGATGTTTTCTATAGTCAAATCTAAGACTGTTTGGCTGTTGGTGGTGTGTGTTTAGCACTGGAAGTGAAGGCATTTATGACCCAATATAAAGACACTATCTCTTTTCTCTCATCTTCCTCTTTTCTGAAGATCAGAGGACGTCCCAAGAAGAATACGACTCCCCGCATCTTAAAAATTCAGATTATAGAGATTTTTGTGGTTTTCAACAGCCAGCTGAAAAGCCAGCCACAAAAAAACATGATTTTAACATGTTTTATGAACATTCTGCTTTAGAAAAATAAATATATTGACCTCGTAGTACCACCTTAGTAATTTTCTGTGTGTAATTACTGTAGTAGTTGTTTTTCCTGAGCTATTGCAGAATGATTTAATTGTGTTGCTCTGGGTTTGACCCCTGGCAGTGACGTGCATGTTTGGAGTTAAATGGGACGGGTTATTGCTTTCATTGAGGGAAATGGCACCAGTCAGCTGAGCTGAGACACTATCATTGCTGATCTTTCTCCCAGTACCTGAACTTTGGTTGTTTTTTACGTTTTAAGTGTCATGCAAATCAATTCTGGGAGATGTTCATCCAGTGTGACAAGCAAGATTGCACTTGTTTTGAAGACATAAGCATAATGCATTTCAACATTAAGCTAATACAGTCTTGTCTGCTGTGCAGTTTTGTTTTATACTTCAAAGGCTGTGGCCTGCACCATCATTATCTTATTATCATTCACTATCACTGCACTATCATATACTATTTCTAAATGATTTTTTGATAGTTCATCTGAACACAAGGTAGAAGCTGTTACTTTAAGTTTTAAATGTGTGAACCAAAATATTAAGAATGATATTAATATTAAAAGAATGTAGTAAACTAGATGCCAACACTTGCATACAAATGCAATGCTAAGTGTACATTTAAATTAAAATAACTTACTTAATAGTAGGGATGCACGATATATCGGCCAGAATATCGGTATCGGACGATATATGTTCCTTTTTAATGTTATCGTTATCGGCCTGGTAAGAAAATGTGGCCGGTATATTAAAACCGATAAATAATGTATTATTCCCTTCAGCTGAGACACTTGTTGAGAACTGTTTATGTTTTTAAATTTCTTGAAATATGATTGAAATCTCTTCAAAAAATGAAAATGTGGTTCGGGACAACATGAGCAACGCAAATCTGTCATATCGGCTGTACAACACTATAATGAGAACATCATTATAATTGTGTGATTGGGAAGTGGATTTAATTGTGAGACTTTTGTTTTTGTAAGCAGGCTCTCAAAATTATATAAAAATTTGGATTTAAGTTTATCGGCCGATATATCGGTTATCGGCTTTCAAATATAAAGAATTATCGGTATCGGCCAAAATTTTCATATCGGTGCATCCCTGCTTAATAGTGCTATAATTGTTTTCATGTTATGGCCAATATCGAACAAACTTATTATTGATCTGTGTAAATTCTTAAGTTAATTTAAATAAATTCTTAAGTGAATTTAAGCAACACATTATATGAATATACTATATGAAGCATGGAAAACTATGAAGTCTGCTAAAGAAAAGTTAGTTTGAATGAGAAACAGTTTTGGTTATAGGTCTTTTTTATTATTATTTGTTTTAAGGCACACCTATTTAATGATGTTTCATATCTTTTTCTTGCTTGCTACTGCAAGAAAAAAAGATTCCTGGTTTGTTGTTTCTTTTTCTTTTCTTTTTTTAAAATTTTCTCTCTCAGTCCTGTCTCCCGGCTGTGGTGGAGAGACTGTCGCCCCTTAACTGCATTTTATATACAGATTACATCATCCTTACACCGATTACATCATCATATAAACATAGGTGACATCATAATGATTTCACCCCTTTCCATTACTGACCAGTAGCCCTTCACGGAGTCATGTTTTCAAGTGTGTATTTGATTTGCGTGTGTCTGGATGGGTCTCTTCAGATGAGGATCTGCTTTAGTCTTCAACATTTGGCGCCCACGGCTGATTTCAATTGAGGCTAATTGGTCATTTAAGGAGCCGTCTGGCTGGCCGTTTATTCACACTGTCAAATATTATTTATTTTAACAAAGCGTGTTTCTCTCTCAGGCTGTTGCACGGAGGGCTCCATGAATGTTCGTCACCATGATGATGACGGACCAAATGCTGGACCTCCCTCTTACATTGAGCAACGAGGTTCCCATGATGCACCACATGATCAATGGCGATGCACCACAGCAGGTGAGTTTAGGGAGTCTAACTGATAGTTTTTCTTTAATTGATTGGTATTATTTAATAAATTGTCGATTGAGAAAGATTAGATCTCACAACCTCTCATTTTAAAAGCAAGAAATATTCCTCCATGTTACTATAGCTTTTTAGCTAAGGACCTTTAGCTAAAGACTTTGATTTGCTCCTTGTTTGACACAGTGAATATGTGTGACATCTTGTCTTTTCTTTTTTTTACAGGTGATCCTGGTCCAGGTGAACCCAGGTGAGACGTTCACCATTCGCACAGAAGATGGGGCTTTGCAGTGCATCCAAGGTTTGTCCAATGAAGATTTATTTTCAAGTAGTTTTCTGTTGCTGTTCAAATCTGTGAATGAGTCACGGTGTATAAACTCAAGCTTTTGGCTAAATCGTGCAGCCATACAAACAAGCACACCAAACCTGGAGATTTGTTTTTTGTTTTTACTTGTGATTTTTCTGATAAAAATTGTGATTTTAAAATGCATGTAGATGGACTGCTACAAAACCGTTTCTAACCCTCTTGTGTGTTTGGCCAGTTTGAGGCATTCGGTCACTGAATCCTTAAACTAAATTACATCTGACCTCATAATGTCTTTTTAACTTAATAAAGGCCACTGAATTCCCCTAGTAAGAGATTTTCAAGTGTATGTAAGAGATTAAACGTGGATAGTCACAGTAGCCTAGACCACAGGATACTTGTTCTGACCGTCTGAGCGCTCAAATCACTGTTTACACAGCTAAGAGGAGCTGCAATGACTGTTTAATTCAATTTGTCCAATGAGAATAGCAGAATCAGCAGCAGAGGAGTGTTTGGTTTATGGTAGAGATGGAGCTGGCGGCGGGCTGACAGAGGAGCGAGAGAGAATGTAGATGGAGAAAGCAAGTTTGTACCTCACAGGTGTGGAGACGATGCAGTTGAAGTCCGCCACGGTAATGTTCTGGCATGTCGGGATAAGAACTTTGTTTAATTTTCTTATGTTTGTTCAATCTTTGCCAGCTGGCCGTGCCACGCTGGATAAGGCGAGTCCCCTGTTATTCTTTGATGTTGACTTTGCATTTTTGCAAACAATTTGCTGATAAATGTTTTCCCAGGGCTGGGCAGTGTACAGTTGGCCTATCTTTATTAAAACAGTTCTGCAAAAAGATATCGCATACTATGTATGTAATTCAGAGTGCCTTCATCTAAAAGTGCAAAATGAAGCTCTTAAATCACAATAATTGACTTTAATTCCAGCTCAAATTTGCATATTGCATATTTGCATAATCAACTAAGTTTCAACAAGTCTTCTAATTGGTCTTTAGAAAGATTGTCATCTTTTAAATGTATTCAAACTTCACTGTTCAAAACTTAATCTCTAATGCTCATTGAATCGGTTTTTTAAAAACGAATTTTTGAAATTAAAATATATAGTATAATTTAAAATACATTTCTATTCTTAAATATTCATTAAAATGGTATTTTTTTCCCGTCTTCAGCATCACAATCCTTCAATAATCTTTCTAATATTCTGATTTGGTGCTTTTCTCATTATTATCGATGTTGAAAACCGTTTTGCTGCTTAATAATTTTGTAGAAACTATGTATTATTAACATTATAAGTGTCTTTACTGTCATTTTTGATCAATTTTAATGCAGAATTCAATTTTAATGCTTTGCTGAATAAGTTTTAGGCATGCATGCATACATAAACGCATATTTATTCAAAATTGAGTAGAATATTTTTTAGTAGCTCAGCTATGGCAAATACAAACAGGGTGTCTGAACATGTGTGGTGTAGACTTCTTTGTTAATTTTAATGTGTGTGATCTAGTTTTTATGAGATGTAGCTTTTATGTTGTTTTCGTGAAGTTGTTTGTGGTAAGAACCCTGAGTTTTTCGTTGGAAACATCCAGGCCAAGAGGAAAAGGGGGATGTGGGTTTGCTTTTTCAGACATGCAGAGGTTTATGAAGCAGAAAAACACCTGAATTCCACCTTTCCTGCTGCTAGTAGGGATTCTGATGGACGTTTGCAGGATTGACACCAATTTGTCCTCCCGAGCAACCATCAGAGAAATTGTGGGGTGTTATAAAAGTACATCACTTTGCATTAGTCTGGGTATCCTTACAGACATATTATCGAACTCACTCTCATCATGAGGCCTGTAAAACATGCACACACACACACATTCCTATATTTCAGAATAATTACCCTTTTTTGCACTCCTCAACTATTTATTCACATGTTTTTGTAATCAAGTTAGTTCATCTGATTTTCTTTATAAAATGCTCTCTGCACCCTTGTATTCTATCCCTATCTCTTTCCTTCTCTCCTTTTCTCTGGACTGTGTAAATATGTTTCCTGTTGATGTGGCTTGGAGGCCTCCCCCCTCTCTATGGCCCCCCAATCCCTCACCCCTTTCCTCCAGCACAGAGAAACAGACCTCCAAAAGGCAGATGTCTAATATTAACCGGTCCCGAAAATCTGTGTGCAAAAAAACTGCGTCTCCCCTCTGACAGTCAAGAGGCCTTGGGCAGACGTTTAGAAGTAAAGGAAAACTTCTAAAAGAATGTGTACATGTGGAGATCAGGCACCGCTAACACATCACACCTGGCCCAGCGCTATTTACAGGTTAACCCCGTGCAGACGGCAGTCGCCTAAGGCCTCAGGGGAGCCAAAATATGGAGGCGTTTGATCTCACTTTAAGAGATGCTGGTCTTGATGAACATCACATTGCTTGCTTATGTTAAAGCATCATAAAATGATAGCGTTCATGATAAAATATTAGAAAAACTCACAAGCGTTAATTAGTAGTAGTGTATAACACAAAGACCTGGTTTCACAGACAGGGATCAGATTAAAGGAGTAATTCACTTTTTTTTAAAAAAAAAAGACTTTTGCTGATAATTTACTCACCCCCATGTCATTCTTTCTTCAGTCGAAAAGATGAAAACATTCCAGGATTTTTCTCCATATAATGCACTTTACTGGTAACCAAACGGTTCAAGGTCCAAAAGACAGTTTCAGTGCACACTGCAAACTGTTCAAAGGGCTTTAAACTTTTTTCATGTAATTTGGTTCATTCAAAGATCGAAATGAAGGAATTGGCTCGGAAAAAGATTCATTCGTTTTGATAAACGAGTTCGAATAGGAGAGTCACGAACGCGCATCACAGAACAGAGCAAGGCGACCATTTGAGCTTATAAAACCTAAACTTTGTTATTTTTATTTTTTTAATGAGCGATCGTTTTGCTTGATAAGACTGATTCATCGTCTGGAATCGTTTAAAGCCCTTTGAACAGTTTGCATTTTGCACTGAAACTGTCTTTTGGACCATTGAAGTCCATTATATAAGAAAAATGCTGGAATGTTTTCATCAAAAACCTTAATTTCTTTTCGACTGAAGAAAGAATGACATGGACATCTTGGATGACATGGGGGTGAGTAAATTATCAGCAAATTTTTTTTTTTTTAAAGTGAACTACTCCTTTAAGCAAGGATTAGGGCTGAGTTCAGTTAGGACATTGAAGTAGCTTTTATTAACGCACCTTAGAAAAAAAAAACATATTTAAAAACATATTTTAAGATATGTCCGTACAAGTTGCTTTCAGTTAAAATTCTACTCAAAAAAAGTCTGGGACTATCTTAAGCCTTGTCTGTGAAGCTGCAGGAAAGTATAGTGTCGTGGATGTACAGTACATTTTTAAAAATTAAAATACAAAAATCTTGCTAGATTTACATTTGGTAATAACTGTGGAAACTCATCATTAGTCTTTGAAAAGGGTCCGTTATGTAGTATGAAAACATTGTAATGGTAATAATAGTGTCCAGTATCAGAGCAGCAGATATATAGATAAACACACATCTTTCTGCACTGACATTCACACAGACAGTGGATAATATATGTGCATAGATGCGCATGCAACGAGACGTTAATGCCTTCCACAGTAGCCTGAACAACAGAGAGCAGGAGTTCCAGGAACAGATGGTGGTTCGATTTCTAAAAGTGCAGTTTATTTCAAACTTTAGTCAAGTTCAGGCTATTTTGCTCTCTCCATCTCGCTCTTTGTTGTTCCTGTTTTTCTTTGCACTGTTTTGCTTTTTATGGCATTTGCTGTGTTTTTTTCCCTCATTTAGTGTGTGTGACTGTTCTCATCTGGTCTGCGCTCTTTCCTGGTGGAGGAAACCCCCTCTGCCGCACAGATGATCATAGCAGAGCTTCAATTCCATTCCTCTGACTCACTCCGCTGAGGAACAGTGGATTTTTTGTGCATCATGGAACGGCAAAGAGAGTGAGAGAAAGAGAGGTCTGAGGAAAAGGGCAGCGTTGTGACTCAGTCATGTCCTTTTCATGGCGTTCTCTCCGTGTATGTTTGTGAATATGCCAGTCTTTTCGAAATCCGTTGGCTCAATGGGTACTTTTTGTGAACGAAAGCTCTCAAAGTAAACTTAATTGCTTGGAGAGCTTGCTTTTTCATACCTTAGGAGACACAGTTTGATTCTGTTTGTTCTCCTTAGATTTTCCTGTGCATGAATCATTGTTGCACATTATTCCTTAGGAAAAAAGTCTTCCTGCACCTTTGAAATTACTTTTCTTTTTGACTGACATCATATCTCTACCCTGATCATAAGCAATCTGCTCCTGATGGATAAATCAAGTCCCTCCCTACTACTTTTTTCCTGATCGAATGCCTTGTTTTACTTGGAAACGTCACCTTATGGAAGTAAAATGGTTTGCGAGTTCTTTGTTTCTTCCCTAAAATGACTTGGGATACAAATAGAAACTAAATAGAACTTAAAAGTAAAGATTGTGGCTGTACAATGTATCAAAATAAAATGATTACAATAGGGCTCTATGTGATTTATCAAATGTTAAGGCTGAGATTTAATTGAATAATTATGGCTACGTTGTGGGTTTTAGAGTTTTTTGTTCATATAATATCGCGTGCAGCTCATGATCCAGTTTCAACATCGATTCATTTATTGAACTCATTTTCTGAAACCCAAGCACATATTTATTTGCTGGCAACCCATCAAAATAAAAGATGAATGTTTTACAATTTGAAAAATTAATATGTAAATTTTAATGTTGCATTTCTTGTAACTTATAAAAGATATTTTATTAAATAGTATATTACTTTACATTGTAATAGTATTATTCCATTATATTTCCTATTTTGTTTAGTATTTTTTAGGGCTGTCAAACGATTAATCGTGATTAATCGCATCCAAAACAAAAGTTTGTGTTTACATAATATATGTGGGTGCCCTTTGTATAATTATTTTATATATATAAATACACACACAACACATGCTT